TATGTGGGACCATGGGCGGGTTGGAACAGGTAGAGGACGTAGCAATCCAGAGGGCGGTTGATGGGTGGGTTTAATTCTGGTGCAGATGGGACAGGCCAGTACGTACTCCTTCACGTCCTTGTGAAGGGACGGCCACCAAAAACGACGTGTGATCAGAGCAATAGTTCTGCTTACACCAAGATGAGCTGAGAATTTGGATGTGTGCATCCACTGGATGAGGCGGGATCTCACTGAGGAAGGAACATATGTTTTATTTGGAGGACTGTTACCTGGGTCAGGTTCAGAGGCCAGGGCTAAGTTGATGAGATCGGTGATTTCCCAGGAGACGGCTGCAACAGTACACGAAGAGGGAAGAACAGGCTCAGGTGTTTCAGGTCGATCAGAGGAGTACAGACGAGAGAGAGAATCAGGTTTCACCTTCTTGGAACTGGGTCTGTAAGAGATAATTGGGTTGAAACGGGAGAAAAACAAAGACCATCTGGAGTGACGAGGATTGGATCTTTTGGCTGATTGGAGATATGCCAGGTTCTTGTGATCAGTCCAAACTAATACTGGATGCTCGGCACCTTCGAGCCAGTGTCTCCATTCCTCCAAAGCGAGTTTAATGGCCAGGAGTTCTCTGTCTCCGACATCATAATTTTGCTCAGCCGGGGAGAGCCTACGTGAAAAAAAGGCACATGGGTGAGTCTTTTGATCAGAATCAGATTGTTGAGAAAGAACTGCTCCAACACCAGAGTCAGATGCATTCACCTCTAGAATTAACTGCTTAGAAGGATCAGGCTGGACCAGGATGGGTGCACTGGAAAAGAGAGTCTTAAGTTTCTTAAAGGCTGCGTCCGCCTCAGGTGTCCATTGGAAAGTCTTCTTTACCGAAGTCAGGGCTGTGAGAAGTAGAGCAGTTTGGTTATAATTTCAAATTAATCGTCTATAGAAATTAGCAAACCCCAGGAACCTTTGAAGTTGCTTACGGTTCTCTGGAGTAGGCCAATCCAGAACAGCTCTTATTTTTTCTTCAGATGGCTTCACCTGCCCGCCTTCAAGCACAAACTCAAGAAATGTAACAGATGGTTGGTGAAATTCACATTTCTCAGCCTTAACGAAGAGCTTGTTTTCGAGCAGCCTCTGAAGAACCAGGCGGACGTGTTTCTTGTGATCTGAGAGGTTCCTGGAATAGATCAGAATGTCATCGATGTAAACGAAAACAAAAACATTTAGAAAATCTCTGAGGACGTCGTTGACTAGGGCTTGGAAAAAGGCAGGAGCGTTTGTAAGACCAAAAGGCATGACCAAATGCTCAAACTGGCCAATGGGGGTCTTAAAGACTGTCTTCCATTCATCTCCTTCTCTTATCCTAAGGAGATGATAGGCGTTTCTTAAATCAAGCTTGGTGAAGACCGTAGCTCCTTGAACTGGTTCTAAGGCTGATGCCAGTAGTGGAAGTGGGTATTTATTTTTGATGGTTATCTGATTCAGTCCCCTGTAGTCAATACAGGGTCGAAGGGAACCGTCTTTCTTTCCCACAAAAAATAAAAACCAGCACCGAGAGGGGATGAAGATGGCCTTATAATACCAGCAGCTAGAGACTCATTTATGTATTTCTCCATCGTTTCACGTTCAGGCTTGGAGATGTTAAATAATCTACTGCTGGGAAGAGGAGCTCCTGGTAGTAAGTCTATGGCACAGTCATATGGTCTGTGGGGTGGAAGAGACGTTGCAATGACCTTACTGAAAACTGGTGCCAGATCATGATACTCGG